CCTGGTATCTTATCTTACTTGGCATTTTTCTCTGGGATGCTAGTTCTCTAGCACCCTGTATGTAGTAATTTTACAAGCTTAAATACCATTTTTTTAATTGTAGAACTCGATCCATTTTCTTCCCAAAGTGGATGTTTTATAGTTTTAAACAGTAAATAATATTAAAGTCAACTCCACAAATCTATAAATTTTATTTAGTCAAGTAGGGACATGTTTCGGCACTGTTGTGCCATCATCAGCCATTGAAAAGTCTTACACTTTAAAATAAAAAATTTACAAGATTAAAAAATTTAAATGTTCACTGTTCAAAATTTTTCTTGATTATCACAAATGGAAAAATATACGGAAGGAATAGGAAGCTTCAAAAATTTTCAGCTTCACTGACCTCGTCCTTTTTTTACAGAGGAATAATGTTTAAATCCTATTCCTTCTGTATATTTTTCCATTTGTGATTATCAGGATAAATTTTTAACAGTGAACAATTAATTTTTTTAATTTAATTTTTATTTTTTATTTTAAAGTGTAACAATTTTCAATGGCTGATTGATGATGGCCATTGTGTGACAAAACATGTCCCAACTTGACTAAATACAATTTACTATTTTTTTTGGCTAATTTGTGTCTCGACGATGAATGATTTTTTATCAAACCTGAAAGTCTTGACGAAATTTGTTGAGTGCATTGAACGCTGAATCACTGCTACTGCACCTATTATTGCTCAAGTGGTGAAGTAAATTTTTGATTATTTTTAAATTGGGGGCAAATCTACAGTTAGTGTTTAAATGAGTAATGGTTTTTGTCACGCGAATTTTCGCTTAAAGCGTGAGATTGTAGAAAATCCTCCAGGAAACTCAAAGCGTTCAACGAATTAGAACTTGGTTGAAAATCACCACCGTGTATGGCGCGTCCGCCAAGTCGCTGACCCAAGAAATATAAACCGTGTCATGACACAGGAAACACTTCCAATTAAACCATGATTTGACTATAGATTTTGCAACAAATTGTGCACTTTTGCAATCCCAAACAAGGAAATTTTAATATTTTTCTAGTCCAAGCCATTAATCCACTATTTTTTGGTAAAAGCTAAAAGCAGCAAGCACCTATGTATATTACGTAAATGGCTATCTATTGTAGTGAAAGAAAATAGCATTGATTTATTAGCTTCATTTCCTTAATGCAGTATGCAGCTGAGTATTAGAGGTGGGCGTGTATGCGAGGTTTACCTTATTTTGTAAGAATTTTTACAACGAATTAATTTAAGAATTCATATTTGTGTTGTTATTGAACATTGATAGCTATCTCTTACATAAGGTAATCTAATCCAGCAAAACAAGAACATGATTTTTATTTTTAAACTTTGAAACTAATCTAGTCTCTTAATTTTCATATCTGAATATCTACTTCTGTGTAAGCATTATTCAAATACAAATTTGAATCATCTAAACGTTTTTTCTTGTTGTGAACTTCCGCAGACTTTGTGTTTTTCATTTTTATTACTCATCGTGATCTTAATCGTAAAATTATAATATAAACTGTTTTTAGCACTTTTTTGATTTGGGAACAGCACACATAAACATTATTGATTTGCATCGAGTCAGAATCCGTAGGAATTTTAATCGCATAATACTCAATCTTGAACTGGATAAAAAAATCATTTAGGAGCGTTTTATAAAATACAAACAAATTTTTCCTAAACTAGTTATTTTCGTCAGCGAAATTTCATAAAAAACGTGAATTTATTGAAAATTTTGAGATTAATTTTGACAAACAAGTATACAGGATGTGCCAGAACTCGCGCCCCAGAGAAAAATTTCATGTAAGATAATACCAGGAACATGAAAAAAATGTTAAAAAATTTTATCTGTCAAAAAATTTTGACATTTGACACTTTTTTGTCTATTTAATCATACTGATGATGTTGTATATGTTTTTTTACAATTATCTAGTAAAGGTACAAAAATTTTGCCAATAAAAGCCACAAATAAAATTGAACAGAATTACAATTTAGGATATAGCTTCCTTGTTTCCTCTTCTAATAGCCTGTAGCAAAAAAACTTGAAAAATCATTTTTCCAACAGAAATAAATAGAGTCAAATTGCAAAATTTAAACTCTTTTATAGATAGAATTTTTTAATATTTTTTACATGTTCCTGGTATCTTACCTTACATGGCATTTTTCTTTGGGGCATCCTGTATAAATTGAAAAATTTATATACATATTTAGTTATACCAGGTGAATAAAAAGTATGGAGCCAAACGTTTTTTGCTTAAACTACTTATTTTTTGAAAAAACTAATTGATGAGTGATAAAGTACTATAAAAATGTGATGATTTAACAAGAATAAAATTTTTCGAAATTTCCTTTTGTTTTTGAGTTCTACAAAAGAATATTTTTTTAAGTGGCAACCCACTATAAAATCATTTTTCTCATAAAAGCTATACCCTAAGGATTACAACTATCTACTTTATATTTAATTTTTTTTTTAATTTTTTCACATAAATTGCAATTT